AAGTGGCGCTGTGGCTCAAGTGGTAGAGCGCTAGCCTTGAGCTGAAGAGCTGAGGGACAGCACCCAGGCCCAGAGTTCAGGCCCCACGACAGGACAAGTCCAAATAAGAGATACTTCTTCCCCTCAGTCATCTAGCAGAGCAAACCAAGCTAGGATCCATGTCCACAGCTCTCCCCTCCTCTCATTGGTGCTTTCTCCCTCATCTTTACTCTGCTGGAACCTTGTGGTGATTCCTTATCTCTGCTGCTTATCATGTAAAATAACATCCACTTCTGTGCTTATTGATGAGGTGACATTTGGAAACCTTAGTTTCCCTAAAAGCAGCTCATAAGCTGGATGCCAGTGGCTCACTGCTGGAATTTCTAGCTATCAACAGGCTAATATCTAGAGTATTGAGGTTTGAAGTCTTCCAGACTGTCTCAAAAGCAGTCAGCAAAAGGCAGGGTGGGAAGTATGGTTCAAGTAGTAGAGAGTAAGCAAGTCAAAAGTTCAAGCCCCAGTATTATTCACCGCCCCCCTCCCCCAAAAAAGTTGGTAATAGGAATCTTCTCAACATGGTTTCTGTAGCTGTCTATTTCTTGGTCCATGGATCTTCCTGGACCCATATCTTCAGAGATAGTGCTGGAAGTAAAATATATTTATCTCTTTCTCCCCAATACTGCTTTATTTAAATACTCAGAATCTGTGTAGCTTTTGTCTGAAATCTAAAACTAGTTTCAAGTCAGAAATGAAGATATTTATAGCTTTTGTAAAAAGGAAAGCTGATTTCGAAAGAGTTGAAATTCCAAGAATTCTTTTTTTTTTCCTAACATAGAAAATGTGTTCCAGTCTTAGCTTTGATATTAGTCATTTGTGCACCCGTGAACAATCCAATCTCCCATTTTTAAAGTCTGTACAATGACATGATTAGAAGGAATCACTCTAAGTCCCTTTCCCGCTCTAAGATGCTCTTAATTTGTGTGATGATGGTCAGAGTGGAGGCAGCAGCTGGTAGCTGCATCAGGAAATGTTCTATTTGTAGAGATTAAGTCTCCACTTAGTAAATAAAAGCCCACTACAAATAGAGATGGTAATCTGGACAAGAAGGTAGATTATATTTGAGACTAATCTTTTATGTTTTCATTCTTTGTTAAACATCCGTTGACTACAAATATATTGAGTATGTATCAGATACTGTGTTGTGCTTTGTGTTTTTTGCTGGGATTTAATTTCTGGGTAGTGTCAATACTGTGTAAAGTACTGTTGAGTGCATGAGCAAGCCCACCAACCTCCCCAGTATTACTCTACAGGGAGTATTTGCTAACTCATCTTCATGTCTTTACCTTGCTTCTGTTTAGGTCCACAAGCAAGAACTATTCTTATGCAATCAAGTTTACCACAGGCTCAGCTCGCTTCAATATGGTAAGGAACAAAGTGTTCCTTGGTTTGTATAAAGTACAAACTTTGTTTCTTATATTAGTATAGCCTCATGGGTTTTTTTTAATTAGTATTACTTGAGAGGATATTTAGAATATGCTGATATTCAGTGAAATGTCTCCAGACTGTGATGGAAGTCCCTTTGGGTGCAACTTCATTTCTGGTTGAAAACCATTCATCAAATTCAAGTTTGACTTTCATTGGTGCTTTTTGGTTTTGTCTATGGTGACTACATCACAGATATAATAATGTATTTTGGTCAGGAGGTTTATAAGTTCTCTTATTTTATAATTATTTTCTAGTGGCTGTTGGTGAGCTTTGTCTAGTTTCTACCTTTTTTAACATTTTTAAAGATTTTCAAAAGTTATTATACATTAGTTGTACAGAGAATGTTTCATTGTGACATTACCATACATGTACTCAGAGTATCCTGTCAACCTCACCCCCCTCTATTTTTCTTCCTTATCCCCCTCTTTAAAAAACTAATAATGTTTCATTATTTTTTTTTCATATATGCATCTGAAGTACTTTGGCCATATTCTCCCTCTTTCATCCTTTCCATCCTCCTCCCCCTTATACAAATACCTGTCAGGTTTCCTTACATTTCAATATTAACTGGAATGGGTTCTTTTACTTAAGTTTGGTGATTGCCTGGGAAATGGACCTGGTCGCCACTGTTCTCCTGACAAGCTCACGACTTTCCTGCAGGACATATTGATGTGTGAAAATTTGCATATGTTTTTCTTTCTTGCTTTTCCTTCTGCTGTGTTGTATAGACTGCCTTTTGCTGTAGAGTAGATTAGCTCAAGAAGCATCTTATACCTGTGACCCACATAGACCTCTTAAAGTCTGGGTAAGCATCAGTATCCTACGGGTGTCTGAAATACAAACTTAAGATGTAACATTGTACAGGTTGACTGAGAGATCATTAAATCAAATGAATTAGATTTAATTTCAATGTCCTCATGAGGCCAGAGTACAATGAAATGATATTTAAAAGTGTTCATCCATATCTTGTTTCTGAAAAAGACATTTGAGGCATCTTTTTATTCAAATATTATATTCTCCCTTTTCACAGTAAAAAATTAAATGTTTGTGGCAATAATCTATAAAGGTAATTATGGGGAAAAATAAGTATCCCAACTTCTTTCGTCTGAATTACCTAGCAATAGCTAATAGTGGGAATAAATAGGAGACGAATAAGGAAGAGCAGGCAGTAGTTTTCTTTTGTTCTGAGTTTCTGGCATCAGGCAATGGCAAAGTAGAACAGAAGGGAGACCCAGAGTGTGTGGGGCAAGGGAGGAATTGAGTAAAAAGAAACGTAGGAATTTGGGGAGTTCTGTTCACTGTGAAGAGGAATGTATTTTAGTGGTTTTGTTTTTGTTTTTGTTTTTTGGTTGGTTGTGGACCGGAACTCTGGGCCTGGCCACTGTCTCTCAGCTCTTCAGCTCAAGGCTAGCACTCTACCACTGAGCCACCTTCCCAGCCCTGTTTTTTTTAGTTTTTTGTCATTGTCAAAGTCAGTTTCCTAATGTCACATTTGTCCAGTTGACATTCTAATAAATAGACATGTAGTTTCCCATCTTCTTTTGGTGTCCAAAACTTGCTAAATAAAATGGTAAACTTGAGCCTACCAGCAAAAGCTGTTTACTGTAATTATCTCCTTACAAAAAAAAAAATGATGCACATTGGATTTCTAGAATAAGAAGACAGAAATGCCTTAACTCTAGAAGCCATTAATACCTGCTCATATAGGCCTAGATTAGGGATGGCCAGCCTGCTCAGTGGGCTGGATCTGGCCTGCACCACTTTTGCAAATGAAAGTTTTATTGTAAGACAATACCTGTTCATTATGTCTACATCTGTTTATCATGGGCAGAATTGAGTATGACTGCTTGAACAGTAAGATAGAGTTTGCATATCTTAAAAAATATTTACTACTTGATCCTTTGTGGTTTGTCAATCCCTGGTCTAGGACATAGCATTTGAAGATACATAGAACACAAGTGTGATGTATTTTAAATGGGCTTGAAAGGATTGAGGAGAGTAATGTTTCAATCATAGTACTTGTCATATGACTAGCAACACCCTAACTATGTGGAATATCTTATTTTATTCTTGGAAAAGACTAAAATAGTACTACTTTTACAAAGTGAGGCACATGCTCAGTTGGCTTAGAATCAGAATAAGAAAGTAGAATGTGTAAATCATTCATGAATAGTAAGAAGCATGCATTTTCATGAAACAGGATTACAATGACCTTTTTATTAAATTAGGAATCTTTCTGACATTGATCAAGATGGAAAACTCACAGCGGAAGAATTTATCCTGGCTATGCATCTTATTGATGTTGCTATGTCTGGCCAACCACTGCCACCTGTCCTGCCTCCAGAATACATTCCACCTTCCTTTAGGTAAGAACATTGGCTACATAAGAAATTGTGTATTTTGTCTGTGAATTCTAAACTTGATATTGTTGACTGCCTATCTTACAGTGATTTACTATCCTGTGGAAATACCACGATGCAAGAGACTCTTCTTCTCTAAGTTTTGGGTTGAGCCTGAGTCACTTTTGTTCTTCAGAGTATTTGTGTATTCCATATATTAAAAGCAGTCAACCAAATACTGCAAGGCTGAATTTTTATAGCAACCTATATAACTGAAGCTTACCAGAAATTTTAGGAGCAGATGCTAGCAGTGAAAGAGAAACTAAATGAACCTGTACATAGGAAATAAAACAAAGTGATTACACCTATGACTCATGTAAATCCGAGAGACAACAAAAACTCTGGCAACATGGATATTATGATCAGGAAGATAATTAAAGAAAAATACCTTGCTCCGAAAAACCCTACTGGATAGACTTGTCAAGATAGTCCCAGGGTCCCCTCAGCAGTCTGCTGTAACCTGGATGCAGGTGGTTTATGCCTATATCCATTCCTAGCTCACTCCTGTGCTCTCAGGAGGCTGAGACATGGACAGGCATGGTTTGGAGTCCATTTGAGCAGAAAAATCTATAGGATTTCATTTCCACTTGACCAGCAAAAAGCTGGGCTGGGTTCAAGTGATACAGTGCCAGCCACGCAAAGGCAAGATAGAGCAAGCCTGATGCTCCTGAGTTCAAGTCTTGATGCTGTTAAGAAAAAAGAAGGGGCTGTACTTGTCACCCTGGTCAGCACAAGTACTATATGCACATACCACCCTGCCCAGCGCTATCTTCTGGCTGTAAATATGAAGGATAAATATGGAGTCTCAGCTAAGTATTAAGATGGATACAAAAACAAAGGGTTTTCTTCTACAGTCCTCAAACTTCAGGAGAGAGTAGGGCAAAGTCTCTGTAACATGAGAACTGGAGTCAGCAATATCAGCCCATCCGTAATACCAGAACCTTGCTGAAGAAACTTCCAACTAGCTGGGGGCAGTTTGCCTGTAGAATCTCATAGCAACAAGTAGCTGAGACAGTTTGCCTGCAAAATCTCACAGGTGCAAGAAAGTTAACAGTGGAAACTTTTTTTAAGGCAAAAAAAGAGGGGGGAGATTATTTAATTATTTAAAAAGAGCAATATTAAAAGTTTAAAGTGATAATTGGTTTTTTAAAAAGTCAGTGATTTTTTTTCCCCCCTAGAACTATTCTGAATATAATAGATGGTTCATGCATGTAAGAAAGATTGAAGAGAGATGGTAAAGGAAGTAGCTGCCCCTAATTAGCTGAGCTTCAGGTCTTCCCTGTGATGAATAGTTAGGAGAATGATGGTCATTGCAGTGAACACTTGCTGAGTGCTTACTTTGTCTCAGACATGTTCTAACACTGTGATATAGCGGTTCTAAACTTACCATGGGTTTTGGTTTTGGAAGGTGAAGGACTTAGGGGATCAAACCCAAGATCCGGTGCATGCAAAGAATGTGCTGTATCCACCACTGAGCTACAGTCCCAGCCCCAACATTTGAATAAGCTCTGCACTCAGTACCTAATGACATTCAAATAAATACTCGTTTTATTTGCTTTTTTACATTTTTTTTTCCTTCTGTTTTCTTGTGCTGGACATTGAACCTAGGGCCTTCCTTGCGCATACTAGGCCACTGAACTACATCCCCAACTCTCTTAAATTGCCATTTTCAACAACTTTTTTTTTTTTTTTGGTCAGTCGTGGGCCTTGAACTCTAGGCCTGGGTGCTGTCCTTCAGCTTTTCAGCTCAGGGCTAGCGTTCTACCACTTGAGCCACAGCACCACTTCCGGTTTTCTGGTGGTTTATTGGAGATAAGAGTCTAAAGGACTTTGCTGCCTGGGCTGGCTTTGAACCGTAATCCTCAGATCTCAGCCTTCTGAGTAGCTAGGATGACAGGCGTGAGCCACCAGCACCCAGCCAAAAACTTTTTTTTTTGGGGTGCGGGGGTCGGTTTTTGGGGCTGAACTCTGGGCCTGGGCGCTGTCCCTCAGCTCTTCAGCTCAAGGCTAGCGCTCTACCACTTGAGCCACAGTGCCACTTCCGGCTTTTTTTCTTTTTGCTTATGTGGTGCTGAGGAATCAAACCCAGGGCCTCAGGCATGCAAGGCAAGCGCTCTACCACTGAGCCATCTTCCCAGCCCCAAAAAACATTTTTTAAGTAGAGAAAATGAATTTTCTTTTCTCACTGTGAATGAAATTTGCTCCATTATAGGGTACTGAGGCTTGAGCTGAGGGCCTTGTACTCTCACTTGGCTTTTTTACTCACAACTGACGTTTTCCCACCTGAACCACACCTGCAGTTCTGGCTTTTTGATGGATAATTGGAGAGAAGACTCAAAAACTCTGCTTTGACTGGCTCCTAACCACAATTCTCAGATATCAGCCTGCTTAATAGCTAGGATAGTAGGTAATAGCCACCAGCCTCCAGCTTCCATTATATGGTATATTCTGTAAGTTCTTTTTCATAGATTGTCCAGTTTTTCATAACTCTCCCAGTTCTGCATACACACTTTATATATGGATTTCTTTCTTTTTTCTTTTTCCATTACTGTAGAAGAGTTCGGTCTGGCAGTGGGATCTCTGTCGTAAGTTCATCATCTGTAGATCAGAGGTTACCAGAGGAGCCAGCTTTAGAAGATGAACAGCAACAGTTAGAAAAGAAATTACCCGGTAAGGCTGCTTTTATATTTGACTTAAATCATATGTGAGATTTTCTGTCCAAATCAAAATAGAACATGGCAAAAATTGAGGTGAAAATAAATTTAGCCTCTGACATTTTTGCTGTTGTTATTGTACTCAGAAAAAGACACTTTTTAATGTGCATTTGGACCTGGATTTGTCTTGAGACACAGCATTTCTGTATTTCTAATGCACCTTTACCCTAACTTTTAACCTAAAGATGGTTGGTTATATACTACTAAACAAAATTTTATAAATGTTATCTATGGAATACAGTCATTTCTTAAACCCACCAGTACAGAGATAGAAAGGAAAATCATCATCTACTATTTTTTTTCTTTCTCATATTTTCATAGGAGAATTGGATTCTTAGTAACAGCAGGAACCTAGTTTAAATGTAATGTGAACCTATTTTAAATAACTCATTTACAATGGTAAATCCATCCTATTAAGTTAGTCTAAGGTGTCTATGAATTATTAATAATGAAATGATGATATTATTGATGATGAAATGATACTAAGAAGCAGTTGAATTTATTATGAAGTCTTTTTATCTTATCTACTTTGTCGGTGTCATTTTGATGCATTTTATGTGCTCCACAGTTAATTACCCAGCTCTGGAGGATAGCTTTCCAAGTTGATTCTTAAACTAAATTACTTTTCAATTACTATAAATGTTTTATGTACATGACGTGTTGAGTACGGTGAAGAATGTTAGCAATACGTGGTTAATAAATAATAATATATGGTTCATACTCTCTAGAGGCTTACATTATAACAGAATATTTAAGACAGACATACAAACAGTCTAAATCAGTACATACAGGTGAGATCAATTCTTGGAGGCTTTATATATGCCAAACACTCTATGATTGGTTTGCATAGACCAAGAAGCTAGGGAGTAAATCTCCAAGGGAACAGATTACACTTGAATTGAGACTTGAAGATAACTAGGGTCAGTACAAGGGGAAGTGCCAAGTTTTGATAAAGATGGAAGTAAGCTGTCAGTGGTAGATTAAGGACATTAGTTCTTAGAATTTGAAATTATCTTTTTCTGCTGGTTATAGACATTAATTGAATATTTTGAAGGGGAAATATTTTTGTTAGAGTATTTCTTTTCTGTTCCTTTCAGCAACCATTTATTATGTGCCAGCTATATACTAGGAATAATGCTAGATCCTAGAATTTTAAAAATGAGAAACTTTTGGTTTTTTTGATATTGAAATGGTATTAATATACTATGAAATTGAATTTTGTTTCTTGGTGGGACTGGGGTTTGTACTTAGCTCATCATGGTTACTAGGCACTGCCACTTGAACCACGCCGCCAGCCTATTTTTGTTTTTAGTTGTTTTTTAGATAAAATCTTACACTTTTGCCCTTCCCAAGTAGCTAGGATTATAAGCATGTGCCTCCATACCTGGTTCAACATTATAAAATGCAAACTTTATTGACCATCTGAGCTTGGACTGCAATAAAAATTCCATACATTGGTGATGCAGTATCAGAGTGTTAGGCAGTTCTGTTTTGGATGAGGTTGTCTTCTGGATTTGCTTTATATGTCCTCACATAGCTTTTCTTGGGTGCCAACAAGCAGATAAAATGATGTCTTTCTCCTTTTTCTCTCCCTTTCTCCTTTTCTAAGACCACTAATACCTCGAGGGCCACACCCTCATGACCTATGCTAATAAAAGAGCTGCATTTCCAGAAACTACCACTTTGATATAGTGATAAATTTGGGGAGGATGCAGACATTCTGTCCACAACAGTGGCATTTAGTACTCTCACAGTGCTGAGCTACTACCATCTCTATCTTGCTCCAAAAGAAAACTGCGTAATCAGTTACTCCCCATTCTCCATTTTCCCCAGCCCTTGGCAACTCCCTGTCTGCTTTCTGATTGCTTGTCTTGGATTTTTATGTATTGGTGGAATCTTACAACTTTCGATCTGTTGTGTCTGGTTTCTTTCACTTAGCATAGTTTTTGGATCCCTCTGTGTTGTAGCCTGGAGCACTACTTCATTCCTTTATGGAAGGAGGGACTTGATGGCCAGAAGGAGAAGTGAGCAGTCTGTTTTGGGTACTTTTTTTTTCTTTTTTTGGTGCAAGTCTTAGGACTTGATCTCAGGGCCTACATGCTATTACCTGAGCAATTGCTCTACCACTTGAGCCACAGCTCCACTTCTGTTTTTTTGGTGGTATTAATTAGATATGAGACTTTCTTACCTGAACTGGCTTCGATTCTTAGATCTTGGCTTCCTGAGTAGCTGGGACTACAAGTGTGAGCCACCACCAGCTCCAGACAAAGTGAGAATTCTGAAAGTGGATTTGGAAATGGAATCCTTAAAGAAAGCTTTTTCTAGGAACATTGGTGATGAAAGGTTAGGGAAAGGGTGTATTCATAGTGCCTATCAGCCAGGCATAGTTAGAAAACTTGGGGAATTACAGATTTTAAGTTGTACTGAATAAATCCAGTGAAACTTTTCTTCACAGAGTATGTTGAAAAATCATGACTTTCCATAACTGATCATAATTTTTCATAAACTCTTCCGTGCTTTTTTTTTATTGTGAAAATACTGTACAGAGGGGTTACAATTACATGGGCAAGATGAGTGCATTTCTTATCGAGCACTGTAGCCAGCCTCCTCCTTTGTTTCCCCTTCCCATCCCTTCCCATCCTCCTCCCCGTCCCCCCACCCAATCCTCCTCCCCTGCCCCCCGCACCAAAGTTATAAAGTTCATTTTCAACATAACGACTTGTACATCTCATTGTTGCAATGGGTCCACCTGTATCCCTATTTAAACAATTTGTTTTTCCCCCTCCCCTCCACAAATTATACCGACATCAAATACAGTGAAAGCAGGGGTTATACTGTGGGGGAGGGACATACATAGCAACAAAGAAATAATCTTATAAATGTGTTAGAAACAATCGCATGAAAGCAAAAAAACATTTAAATACATATCTTAGGGTTCATTTCCCTAACATCACCTTATCTGACCTTTTCTGCTTGACTCAGCAGTATGGAGATTCCTCAAAAGACTCCCTTATGACATAGCAATCCCACTTTTGGGCATTTACCCAAATGTTTACAAACAAGACCACACTAAAGCTACCAGCACGACTATGTTTATTGCAGCATTATTTACTATAGCTAAGATATGGAACCAACCCAGATGCCCCTCAGTAGATGAATGGATCAAGAAAATGTGGTATATATACACAATGGAATTCTATGCCTCCATCAGAAAGAATGACATTGCCCCATTTGTTAGGAAATGGAAAGGCTTGGAAAAAATTATATTAAGTGAAGTAAGCCAGGCCCAAAGAAACATAGGTCCCATGGTTTCCCTTATTTGCGATATCTTCTGTGTTTTGAAGTAACATTTGAAGATAAGAAGCGGGAGAATTTTGAGCGTGGCAATCTGGAGCTGGAGAAACGCAGACAAGCTCTCTTAGAGCAGCAGCGCAAAGAGCAAGAGCGCCTGGCTCAGCTGGAGCGGGCTGAGCAGGAAAGAAAAGAACGGGAACGCCAGGAACAAGAGCGCAAAAGACAACTGGAGTTGGAGAAGCAACTGGAAAAGCAACGGGAGCTTGAACGGCAGAGAGAGGAAGAGAGGAGGAAAGAAATCGAGAGGCGAGAGGTGAGCAGCTGTAGAGCAGCCCCATAACTCAGTGGCTGGTGCCTGTGATCTCAGTCCCTTCCCTTCCTCCCTCCTGCTTTCCCTTCCCCGATTATACAAGTGATCTGTTCATATAGGACACTCTTGTAGTCTGTTTATTTTTCTTTTTCCAATTCAGGAATTTTAATATATTGAAAGAGTTGTATAACCATTATCATTGTCTATTCCAGAATATTTTCATCATCCCAGAAAGAAATTCTATGTCTGGGTTTTATTTAGCATGGTCTCTTCAAGATTCATCAAATTGAACCGTGAATCAGGACTTTATTTTTCTTTATGTTGAATAGTATTCTGTTACATAGGCATATAATATTTTATTTATCCATTAATAAGTTGATGATAGGTAGTTTTCTTTTTGGCTATTCTACATAGTTCACCTTTCTCCCCCCTCACCCCTCCCTCCCCGCCCCACTCCTGAGGCTTGAACTCTAGGACTGGGCACTGTCCTTGAGCTCCTTTTGTTTGATGCTAGCACTCTACCTCTTGAACCACAACACCACTTCCAGCTTTTTCTCACAGACTTTCCTGCCCAGGCTGGCTTTGAACCGTGATCCTTAGATCTCAGCCTCCTGAGTAGGATTACAGGTGTAAGCCACTAGCACCCGCTTGAACTTTTTTTGGTACTGAGGATTAAACCCCAGGCTTCCTGCATGCTAGACAAGTACTGTGCTACTAGAGCCACACCCCAGCCATGAATATTCTTGTCAAATTTTTGATGCTATGGTCTTGTAACAGATCACTAAAACAGTTAACTATTTTTCCAGATTCTTGTCTCTGTACTTATACCTCAATAAAAATATGAAGAATTCTATGGCTTGAGGAGGATGGGTGTGCTGTAATTATTTTAAAACCACTGTAGCAGTATCATCTCAATTTCATTGTTTTTCAGCTTTTTCTTCATACTCCTATAAATATGGGTATGAAATCCTCAGTCTGTTCTTTGGAAGGCTTCCAAAATTGGCTGGCAGATCCAGATAGAGCCCACCCAATCTGTTGTCTATCTTTTAATCTATTACTACAGAAGCAATGCCATGGGCATTCTCTCATATGAATGAAGTATAAATGAAGAATTCTTTCTTTATTTAAAAAGTAATGCCTTAGAAGATACACATGTACATAGATACATACTTATATATAGAACATGAATGTCCATTGTGATACTTTGGGGAAACCTAAAGGAGGTAGGGAAAGTAAAAAGAATGATAGTGAAAAACAGCTAAACACATCGTGTCTATGTATAAAGATGGTATAAAGAAACACACTGGAAGCTGTTGAACAATGGGTGCTACAGTGAATGGGCAAAGAAGACCAATAAAGGAATGGGAAGGGAAAGGGTGAATATGTTAGAAGTATACAAATAGAACAATGATACCTGTTGAAACTTTTATGAATGGAGGAAGAGGATGAGGAAGAGAGACAGAAGGAGTAAATTTGATGGAGGACATTATATGTATATATATGTATATGGAAATGTTAGATAAAACCCCCGTGTACAACTAATAGATGCTACTGAAAAATATTTAAAAAGCAAGCAAAGGTTTCTCCTCTCGATTGTTGTTTTGGAAAATGTAACAAAAGCTGCCTTTTGTTTTTGGTTCTTTGGTTGGCTGGTTGATTGGTTTGGAACCAAGGTCTCGCTCTAAGCCGTCTGGCCTCAAACGTATGAGCTTCCTGCCTTGTGCTGTGGTTACAGCTATATGCATAAGCTTCCCTGTATTCCAATTGATACTAACAAGACAATATTTACTTATTTATTTATTTATTTTTATTTGCTGCTGGAGGTTGAATTCAAGGTCTCATGCATGCTAAGTACCTGCTTAACCATTGAGTTACAGCACTTACCAAGATTTTAATTACTAGAATATACCACCAAAAGACTTAACACCTTCCTTAGATGTAAAAAAAAAAGTAAATGACATTTAAAATGATAACGCGAGGCTTCACTAACCCCAGGAGATGCAGTGGTGACTGGATGCTGGACCCGCCAGCTTGCTGATGGAGAGCTTGCTGGTCAGTGCCAGGCTCTCTGACGTGTGTTCCTCACACTCACCAGCCAGTGCAGAGGGGAGGAATGACAACTGCTGTGGTTAAAGAAAGGAATGCATGATTAGGAATGGGGAAGTCACAGGCTTTGAATACTTGAGATGCAGCTTGAGTACTTCTAATCCAAAAACCTGAAATCTGAAAAGCTCCAAAGTCCAGAGACTCTACTTCAGAAGTTAAATAGTTTGGATTCTTTAGATTAAGGATGCTTAACCAGTAAAGTCTATGTAAACACTTTAAAATCCGAAAAAGTCTAAATCTGAAACATTTCTGAATAAAGAATAATCTATAAATAATTTCTCTTTCATTGGAGGAAAACTCAAATTTGTTTGTTGTTTCTGGGATTTTAGTTTGATTTTACTAGATAAAGGAATTTGCCTTCTTCCTGTCTGTAAGAAGAAGTACTTTTTCATGAATTCTTGAAGTCAGGAAGAATGTATTTCCAGTGTGAAATGATCCTGTTGGTACTCATTTTATGGAAACAAAATAATTTTTTATCAAAAACAATAGATATTCCCTCCCCACTCACAGAAAGAACTCCTATATTTTTCTAAAAAAATTTTATTGTCATATAATTTCTTGTAGTGTCTAAAAATCTTACCTTTAGAAAGTAGAGCTTAGCAGATGACACTTTTTTTTTGTAAGACAGTGTATAAACAGTGCCAGTTGCCCAGGCCTGTTATCCTAGCTACTCAGGAGGCTGAGATCTGAAGATTACAGTTTGAAGCCAGCCCTGAAAAGGAAAGTCCATGAGACTCTTACCTCCAATTAACGACCTAAAAGCCGGAAATGGAGCTATGTCTCATGAGGTACAGTGCTGCCCTTGAGCAGCAAGCTCAGGAACAGTACAAAGGCCCTCAGTTCAAGCACCAGGACTGGAAAAAGAAGAAAGAAAAAAAATAAGCCCTGTATGGTATAAGAATTGAGAAATTAATAAGTTGTTTGTTAATATCATAGGCTGCAAAACGGGAACTTGAACGACAAAGACAACTTGAATGGGAACGGAATCGAAGGCAAGAACTTCTAAATCAAAGAAACAAAGAACAGGAGGACATAGTTGTACTGAAAGCAAAGAAAAAGACTTTGGAATTTGAATTAGAAGCTCTAGTGAGTTAAGTTTTCTTATACTTGGGTTTTATTCTTGGATAGGACCCATGTAATGGGCAGAACTCATGGTGTACTAACTCCTGTTTCTTTTCATTTTTTTAAGAATGATAAAAAGCATCAACTTGAAGGAAAACTTCAGGATATCAGATGTCGATTGAGCACCCAAAGGCAAGAAATTGAGAGTACAAACAAGTCTAGGGAGTTGAGAATTGCTGAAATCACCCATTTACAGCAACAATTGCAGGTGAGAAAGTAGAACCCTTAAAAGCTTTCAGACCTCAGTGCTTTAATCTTATTTTTTTTTTTGCTTTGCTTTGGAAAACATTTTTTTTTATTGTAAAGATACTATACAGAGGGTTACAGTTACATGAGTGAGGTAATGAGTATACTTCCTCTTGAACATTGTTACCCCCTCCATTGTTTTCCCCCTACCATCCCCTCCCTCCCTCCCTTCCCCAGGTTCTTTTTTTTTATTGTGATTAAGTGATTACATAATTTCCAGAATTTCACAGTATTGTGGAATAATGATGCTCATTTAAAGTCACAAGTTCATTCTAACTTGCCTGGAGCAAATTGTCTATCACAGTCTGTAACATATAACGGTGTTCACATGTTATATACCATATATGTGAT